CAGGCTGGCCTCGAACTCACAGAGATCCACCTGCCTCTGCCTCCCGAGTGCTGGGATTAAAGGCATGTGCCACCACCGCCCGGCCTCAGATCTTCTTTCTTAAGCTGATTTTGTCAGATATTTTTCACAACAAGAAGAGAAATTAAGGCAGCCTCTGAACTTCTCTCAGGAATAGGCATTGCTACTTCACTCATTTCTAGTGATCATGCTATGTTATCAATATTGAAATTGACATTAAAACACTGTCACCTAAAATGATTTGGCCTTAATACTCTTGCCTGATTCTAAAGCATGGAAAAGTGGTGGCAAATGTAACATGCTTAACTTGGAATAACATGTTACACTTTAAAATACATTTAAAAATTTATCCTTTGAGAATTTTGTATATGGTACATGTTTTTTGATCAAATCTATCCTCCAATCTTTTCCATTAATGTCTCTCAGAACTCTTCTTCCCCAAACCTCCCTTCTAACTTCATGGACTCATTTTTTTTAGACACCTAATCCAGTTAGTCCATGGGTGTATGGCTATCCATTGCAGCAAGGACAGCCTGCGGTGGCTGCATCCCAGAAGAGAACTCACCCATCCTCTTTCTTCCAGCAGTCATGAAGTACTGGTAACTCCTCAGCTGTGGTTGGGACCTGATAGACACCTTTCCATCTGCTGAATCCTTGCATGGCTCCAAGGATTTGACTAGGGGCATAGGAAATAAAGAGGACAAACCAGGGACATAGAAAAGCTAGAATTGGGGGTCTAGGCTCTTGGATCGGAGAAGCTGCAGGGTCCCGGAAGGTCACTGTGTTTATTATGTACAGTTGAATAGAGATGCAGAGTTATTGTATTCATCTACAAAAAAAAAAAGAAGTTATATAAGCTGTACAAGGAGGTAGGTTTTGCTAATCTCAATAGGAGTGGTCTCTGTAGGAAAGTAATATTAATATTCAGGTCCTAAACATCTGGAGGGAGAAAACTACAGCGGACCCACTCTGTACATACTATCAACATTCACATTCAGACCTGAGAAAGGCTTTGGCATCCCTCAGGGGAAGACTTTGTTGCTCCTATATGGGGCAAGTCCATTCCACTTCTGGTGCTCCTTTTCTCCTCAAATTGTACATTTTGTATTTTTACTTTCTAAGTTTGCTCTTTTTCATTATAAATCTTCATTAGAGTTAACACTAGCAATCATATGATAGAATCTATACTAGATTGCGTTCACATTTCCTCTGCCAACATAATTAATCTAAAATCACTTGGCTTTAGTCTTAGGTAGACTCTTTGGACAAGGACAAAAAGCAGTCACATGCTTCAGAAAAATATAAGAACAATCTCTAGGTAACATAATACAATTCTTCCCCTCTGAAACCTCTTGATTTAATCCCCCAACAGTCCAAATCTTCTGTGCTCCTATTAGTGTGATCCATTAGGCAGCACTTAAAGCATTCCACTGCTTTTCTAATTCAAAGTACCAAAGACCAAATTTCTCCAAAGAAAAACATGGTCAGGCTTATCACAACAATACCCTACTCCTGGTACCAACTTCTGTTTTAGGGTTTCTATTGCTGTGAAGAGACACCATGACCACAGCAACTTTTTTTTTTAAACTTTTATTGGTACTTTGTGTACTTCACCTCCTGCATTCTGATTCCACTTATTTCCCCATCTCCTCACATCTGCCCTTGCAACCTCCCCCAAAATCAAAACCAAATTTAAAAGAAAAGCCAAATCAAACCAAACCAAACCAAACAAAACCAAACAAAACCAAACCAAACAAAACAAAAAACAGAAACAAAAACAAAAACAACAGAAAAGAAGAAGAATCTTTTTGTGGAAGCTATAGTGTGGCCCATTGAAGCACACAGTCTAGTCCATTCATATTTGCCTGCAAATATTCATTGCCACAAGTCATTGGTCTGGTTTGAGGCCTCTGGTTTCTGCTACACCACCGATAATGGGTTTTCACTGTGGCTCCTCATGAATATCCTTTTGTTATCCTGTGTCATAAAGACCCTACTGTTTTGAATCTGTAGGTTCATTCCTTTGAAATGCTACAACCACAGCAACTCATTAAGGACAAACATTTAATTGTGGTGGTTTATAATTTCTGAGGCTTAGTCCATTTTTATCATGGTGGGACATGGTGGCATGCCGACAAACATGGTGTAGGAGAAGGAGCTGAAAATTCTACATCTTGATCTAAAAGTAACAGGAAGTAAACTATCTACCACACTGAGTATATCTTGAGTATAAGAGACCTCAAAGCCCACCCTCACAGTGACACGCTCCCTCCAACAAGGCTACACCTACTCCAACAAGGTCACACTTCCTAATAGTGCCACTTCCTTTGGGGGCCATTTTCTTTCAAACCACCACACTGATTGACATGGAAGGGTCCAGCTCACTGTGGGAAATACCACCCCAGGAAGGTTGTCATGGATTATATAAGAGAGTAGACTGAGCAAGCCATAAGAGCAAGCTAGTAAGCATGGCTTCTGCTTCATTTCCTTTCTACAGGTTTATGCCTTTAGCTCCCATTCTGACTTCCCTTCATGATGAACAGTAAGCTGCCACACCAACTCCAGTGTCGTCCGTGTGACATGAACAATTATGTCAATAATAGCGGACGGGAGATACGTGTCCCACGGGACTAAGCTCCCTGGAGGTCCCTGGCAGAGTGCCCGTGTTATGCCTCCTTCTCGAAGGAGACATGCTTCACAGATCATGAGCTCTCTGGGCTATGGGTTCTGTATAACTGCTTTTCTGATAATGTTCTAATTAATCTAT